TGAATGTGTTGGGAATAGTTTCCTCCTGAAGCTTTCAGATTGAAGGCAGTGTTCAAGGTCCAGTGGTACACTATTTGTGCAAAAGTAAATATGTTCAAAGGACATTCAATTGCACACATCCAGCTTGTTTAATCTCCATAGAAAATCACTGCCAATAGAATGGGACAGAAGGCAGTAGTTGCACATGGGGCTAAGGTAACCATGCTCAATGCCAAGCATTGGCTAGAGGGGTGAAAAGCAACCTAGAACTGGACTGTGGGGCGGTGGCGCTGTTTCCTTTGCAATGATTACTCTCCAACCAGTACGTTTGGGATGAGCTAGAATGGCATTTGATATCTAGATTAGTATCTAACCTCAACTATTCTCTTACAGCTGAATGCAATCAAATCATCACAGCAACATCTAGTGTAAAGCCTCCTACATGAGTAGCATTGGTTACTGCAGCAGCAAGCTATTATTCATATCTTTAATTTCAGAATAAATGTTAAATGAGCAGGTGTCTCCGAACTTTTAAACATACAGTGCAGAACAAGGGTGTTCAGTCTTATCTGCAAAGGGCCAGTGTGGTTGCAGGTTTTCATTCACAGAAAGCTGGAACTCACCTGATCAGTTGTTTGAAGACTGACCAACTGAGATGTGCTCCTGCTTTGCAGATAAGGTTGGGCATCCCTGGTGGTACTCCAGCATAGCTTCCAGCATTACAACATATTTGCAGAAAATGGCATGTGACATTTACATCTTTAGCACATTAAACATGCAGTGCCTGTCTCCTTAAGACCATGAAAACTGCTGACTGAGTCAGGCATCCAATATAAATGATATTGTTTGTGGGCAGCATTACTCCTAACAATCTACAGCACACACAAACACACAGTCAAAATATCTGGCTTACGAAGAATCAGCTGAATATAATTAGCCGAAATACAGCTAAACTAGCACAAACCCCTGTAGGAAATGACTCATATGACCACACCGTCTTGCGCTATAACGTTTCAGGCAAAGATCTCAAACAGCTAAAAGCCATTTCATCCGATGGGACCAAGGGGGCCTAAAAAAAACAAAACATGGCTGTACCACAGATGAGACGCTGTGTGGGAGATTATTTGTGAAGAAATAAAATCGCGGACTGAAGCTTCATTAGTATTCAGAGGCGGTTTATGAATTTCATGTATCTCAGGATAAGTGGAGACGAAAGACCTTAAAATCCACTCACAGCTCAAACTGAGCCATGCACTACAACAGAGGTTCGCAACAATTATTCAAATGGGAAGAATTTGCACTTATTACAAGCTGTCTCAATGCACAGCAGCGGAGTCGGCAGCATCCTTCAGAGATCCTGCTGAATATATTGCATAAAGTACAACAACAGTTGTTGGCCTGATCCGGAGAAGTATCTTGGCAATGGAAACGGGTCGGAAGGGTTAGTGGGTATGCAGTTTCGCTTGAGTTATTGCTGTGTTTGTGAGCCGTTTCAAAGAACAAAATATTGTCTAAATGCCAGGGGAGAGCACATTTCAAGTAAACCGCTGGAATGAGACTTTAACTGCATACTGTACGGCAGCCTATATTACACTCTGATGTGGATACTGATGCATCATTGCCGTTTCACCTTTCAAGCTTCAACTGCTGCTTATAATCTGCGTTGCAGTGAGCTATTTTTTTTTTGTTTCACATTTTTGTTTTTTTCCAGGTCAAAATCCTTCTACAATCATGCTAGCAAGGTCTTCAAGGCCCATTTGAGCTACTAAAATATTACTGTTTTATAGCTGGGAAAAATTATATGAGACAACCCATTCAAAACAACACTCTAGAGATGTAATGATTTTTTAAGTTTCATACAATTTCTTATTATAATATCTATTCAACTTTCAATATTTGATGCGTTTGTCTTTACAGAGACCTAATTGTATACTATTCAGATTAGTTTGGCTCAGCTGAACTGCAAATTTCAAAACAGTAAACAGCACCCAGATGCCTAGTTTTGATCACTGATATTAGATGCCATGAAAGACAGTAACCAAGAAAGCCTTGAAAGAGGCAGATGGGCGCATTGGTGATGTAGTTTTAAATCTTACAATGTTTCAAAATGCTTCCTTTTTTCAATATTGTACTGAAGTCTTTACACAAAATATTTACACAAAATTTGATGTAAAAGCATAAGTAAACTAGCTATCACTAGAATGGTCTGTTTTTGAGTAGCTGACACATTGTCTGAGCGTGACAGAGTTACAAAACAAACAGCCCCCTCAACCATGTCATATGCTCTCTAGCAAACACATACCATTACATACATATGTTGCTTTTCTCTTATCTGCCATACATCCCAGTTTAAAACAACTTTACATACTGAAACTAAACCATTTCATCTCTTTAGAGGATTTTAGACGATGCAAATGTTCCATGTTAAATATTTTTAGAATTTAATAAGGTTGATGCTCGTTTGGGATTACTGTCGTTGGTGTGTGGATTTTATCAGGGTGTGACTATTCCAACACACTGAAAACATGTTGGGGGGGGCGGTGGGGGTGGTACAAAACAGTATCAGAAACTAAAACTATCACCAATATGCCCCTTTTTTATCTGGGGTCTTTTATTTGCCATCTTTCTTGGAAACCACAGCTAATGATCAGACTTAGGCATCTGGGTGTGTCCTTTATCAGAGTAAAGTGGGTGATGAGGGGGTGGGGCTGAGTCACATATAATCTGGGGGTTTCAGTTTTTGGGGCTTATGCTGTGATCTGTATTTAGACTTCTGTTTCAAAACACTTTAAACAGCATTTTAACACATAAAATACCAAAAATCAAGTCAAATCCTGGCCTCAGTGTCAAAAATCATATCAGACACTAAAATGTGTGTCGTTACGCCCCTAGTATTTTATGTCCTTTTACTAAAAGTAAACAATTTTGAGAGCCACAGACGATTTCTAACCCCAGTGAGAGTTTTCTGAATTTAAAAGTGTGATTATGAATGCTGAACAGTGGTCGCACCATGACATCAATTTGCTTACACGGACATTCAGCAGTAACTACTGCGATACTGTGGCAGGATATCAGCAATAAAGAGGTTTTCTGTTCACTCCGTTTATACGATGCTGGTACAAGAGGCCGAGTCAGAGCACGAAACCCACTCGTTCCCCGCGGAGGTTTAACCGTGATGAGTTTAAACGGCTCTGCACTGGCGCGCACTTCAGACATCCAGCACAGCCCGACACAGCTGCGGCGCCGCGTTCATCCAGACAACAGCGACACGCGCGTATAACCCGACTCGGTTCACGCGCTCAGACTGGTGAGGGTGGGATTCCCTTCAGGAGTCGACTCAGATACGGCACGAGAGACTTAACAAGACCACTCCCTCCCTCTCTCGCCCTCCACTTCTCTCTGCTTCCATCTCTCTATTTTTTTCTCCTTTTCTCGTATTCACTATCATCTTCAACGTCTGTTTCCATCAGGGAGGCTCTATATAAGCAAACCGTCTGGCATGAACTTTTTAAGGCCTTCATCCTACAAAAGACTGACCAACGGTCAGGCTGGGTTTAATGACGAAGGGCCTAAAATGGGGAAATAAAGACATTTCTAAAGCCGAAGTCTCCGTCTTTCTCTCGCGCGCGCGCGCCCTCTCCTCTGCTTCACTCTCTCCCTCTCAATAGTGAGACAGGTAGAAAACAGAGAAAGAGAGAATAAACCGCTTACTTTCAGAAGACGCTGACGCTATCACACCTCCTCTTTCTTTCTTTCTTTCTCTCTCTCTCACTCTATTCCTCCGTCCAATAATGCTAATGCCAGCGGTGGACCGTTACGCACGCGTGTTATTATTTAATTTTTTCCCGCCGGCTCCCGCCTCCTGAGCTGTGATTGGCCAGCGGAGTTCCTCCTCTTACGCTGGCATTGACTTGCAGTGTCTCCAACTCCCGCGCTGTGATTGGCTGATCAGTCCTCAGCTACTGCGCCAAGATTGGCTAGTTAGTTCATACTCGCGAACAGTCTGTCGACAACTAGCCAATCAAAGCGCAGGAGGCGGGACTTTTCGGAATGCGGGTGGGAGAAAAAAATAACGGATCCCGCCGTAACGGTCAAATTCAAAATCAAATCGCACCCACAAAAAGTACATTAAGAGAAAATATATTGTAACGAATAATTTATCATATTTTTTAACCAAAACGTCGTTTTAACCCACACTAAACGTGTTCAAAGTTCACAGCGATGAAGAATAAACAGGCTCCAGTCCCCGTTTTGAGTAGTTTTTCCCTCATATACACTAGTTAGGATCATAGCTAGCTAAATGTGTAACTCCTCAGGTATTAGCTAACGTCAGCTACACAGGCTACATATTCATGAACAGATTTATAGCCGACTCTCGCAACAGAAGCTCGGCCTGGGGTAAAATTGGGTGAAAGTGGAGCTGTAGCCTGATTTTTAAGAATAAAAAAAACGGACTGCAAATGCTTCGCCCGTATCCGTCTGTAAATATTTGACTACAAATGTTTGCTGAAATCTGCTCGTCGTGTTTAATGACATGTATATGAGGCGTCTCTTTCCAACGTGTGTAGCTAACTTGTTCACCAATATCTGGAGGGCAAAAAGGAATAGAAAATGGAATAATTACCATTTAACAGACGCTAAGCGAAGCCAAACGACAGCAAACTGTCTCAAAAGAACATCTGTGTCCCTCAAAATAATTTTCCTTGCCTCACTCCTCTCGTCTCACCACCGTCCGAAGGAGATGTCTCCGTACGACAGGACCCAGCAGAGAAGCAAACACCTCTAAAATCACGGAAAAGACGCCAAAAACCCCAAGAAAACCCCACAGAAATGCCAATACAGAGACTCATACTCACTCGTTAACACGCAAAACGGCTAATTAACCTCGTGAACACGGCAGCATCAGTATCGGCTGGGGAGAAAACGCCAACTCTCCGTCTGTGAAATCCGACTGAAAGAGCAGTTTCTTCACAGCTGCGCACAAAAACAAAAAATGAAAACACAGCGCGAGAGCTTCTTACCTTAAAAACGCCCCTCTGGCGCTCCTTATAATTTTGTGTCTGTTTTCTCCTCTTCTCCGGATTCCCCCCCTTTCCAATCCTTCCGTTTAACGGCGTGGAAAGACAGAAAGAAAAAGGAAAGGGAGAGAGAAAGTGCGGTTAAAATTCCTTCAGACGGAAGCCTCCCGCGTGCTCGTGTATCCGGTAAAGAGCAGAGCAGAGCTGAACACAGTTGGCTGTTCTGTGTTGGTGTTTTTTTCCTCCTTTTCTGCTGAAAACAGATGTGATCGCTCCTCAGTCCAGCCGCTCCACCTGCAGCCCTGAGCAGAGCGGGCAGCCTCAGCACCACACAGGGATACGCCCACTTAAACACAGGTCACGCCCACGGAGACACAATTCACGCCTACACGTTCGCAAACCACACCCGTTTGATGTCGAAGCCACGCCCACAGCTCGGTTCTCAGCAGCTGCAGTGAAATAACTGTGCAGACTAATGCAGCGTTTTCCAGCCTTGCTCTCCACTGTGCTTTAAAGGGCCTATATCATGGAAAACTACACTGTCCTCACCATCACATCATTCACCCCTCATTATTCAGTCCTTATATGGAAGCTAAGCTGCAAAAAAAGTCGTTTTGAATTCAGTGAATTTGTGATGTCACAAAATTTACATATATCCACCCATTCAGCATACAGCAGTGTTGCTCCATCCAGTAACACTGAGTTTATAAGGACTGTTTCAGCCCAGACTGATTTTTTGAATGAGGCACATAGGACAGCCAATCAGAAAAGAAGTTATTTGCATATATCAGTCTTAAGGGTACAGTAACAAAAACACAAAAAACAGGCCATTTAATGCTAAGGGACAGTGAGACGTTGGAAGACAAACATGTAAAAATTAATTACTCCTGTTTTTGAGAATGTTGGCCCTCCTGTTTTAATACACCCACTTTAAACCCATGAAGGCTTTATTCACTAACATTATTCTCAGCATTTTCTATTTCTGCTTTCCTGGGCTTCCCTTTATGTTTTCCAGCTTATTTTAGTTCTCCAAACTCTAATCTTCCTATTTTAACCTCATGAATTGCCTGTTGATTACAACTGGCACAGTTATTAAATGTTATTGTAGCGTCTTGCTATGGGCTTGTTCGGCCATTGAGGCGTGGCTATGTAGAGTGGCGAGCGCAGAGCACCATGGGTACCGCCGTGGCAGTGGTGACAGACTCAAAAACATGTAAACAGATGTTGTTGTGGGTTTGGGCATATTTAAATGTGTTGCAGATGTGATAATGTGCTGGGCTGTGGGGCTGGTTGGTGGGGTTTAGTGTCTAACATATCTGTGAGTATGGTTGGATGTGACCTGCCCTGCCTTGTCGTTCTTCTTAACTCACAATACAGTTCCAAGCAATAGACATGTCTTGCTGCTGTATCAATTATATACAATATACATTGTATATACACACATATGCGTATATATGCGTATATATGCACACACACATATCCATTGATCAGGCATAACAGTATGACCACCTCTTTGTTTCCATGCTCATTATCCATTTTATCAGCTGCACTTACTATATAGGTGCACTTTGTAGTTTTACAATTACAGACTGTAGTCCATCTGTTTCTTTGCATACTTTATTAGCCCCTTTTACCCTGTTCTTCAGTGGCCAGCACCCCATTGGGCCACTGATGAAGGACTAGAGGATGACCAACACAAGCTGTGCAGCAGAAGATGAGCTATCGTCTCTGACTTTACATCGACGAGGTGGACTGACAATGCAGGTGTGTCTTATAGAGTGGACAGTGAGTGGACACAGTGTTTAAAAACTCCAGCAGCACTGCTGTGTCTGATCCACTCGTACCAGCACAACACACACTAATACACCACCACCACATCAGTATTACTGCAGTGCTAAGAATGATCCACCACTTATATAGTAAGTGGAGCTGATAAAATGGACAATGAGTGTAGAAACAAGGAGGTGGTCATAATGTTTTGCCTGATCGGTTTATATTCACTAAGAATTTGAATTCACTATAAGACAGGAAAATATTCCAACCAGCAAACCATCATACATGCTTCTATCCACAACAACAAAGAGATGCCCTAAATAAGAAGGGTGTTGGCTGTTGATCACAAAATAACATCTATCAATCATCATTTAACCTCCAACAGTTTTAGGACTAATATAACTGTGACATTCTTGATAAATTGACTTCGTTTACCAGTTAGTAAGGTAAGCTAATGTTAGCTATTAGTCATCTCGCAAACAAAATCATAGCATGCTTTTCAATTCCACAAAGCAAATCATTTACTTTTAATTAAGTAAACACTTTAGATTAAGGACAGTTTTACATAAAGTTGCCATTTAGAGGAAGTCATGCAGCCAATTTATGTTAGCTATGCTTAGGTCACTGTTTGTTGCTTCTATTAGCAAAACAAATGTTATTGTTAAAGTTTTGACTAATATTTACTCACCAGTTAGCTGTTTGTGACTGTGTGGTCTGCTGTACAAGGAAAACTTTCATGAAGATAAGCTGTCAGCTTGCAGGATGTTGCTTAATCTCAAACTTCAAAGCATTTATTTGTGAACTTCAATAAAATCACGGTACCATGTAGATTTGTGTAGCCGTAAAAGGGCAGTACACATGACTATCTGAAGGAAACTGAAGGAAGTGTTTGTTAATTAGCTGATGAGTTGAGTCAGGTGTGTTGGAGCAGGAAGGGGAAATAGCTGACTACAGAGTATAAGTATGGTGAATGGAGCAGTGCGTTTTATGGTATATGCCTTCCTCCTCCTAAGCCACCTCCTCTTCCCTATATTCAGCCTGTTAAATCACACAGATGTCCCTCCTGAATGCATGAAGTTGGCTGAGTAATCTGACACTTGAGTTTAAAGCTTCTGCCAAATTTGTCCTTTTTGCGTGCACTTCCCTCCCCGCTTGAGATTTCTCTGAGTGAGCGAGCAACGTGAAATGAGCTGCTGGATAAAAACCAACTGAACATTTGCTCATAAACACTTAGTTTTCCACCTGCTGAAACACACCTACCCATTAATTTTTCCTTAACAAATCCACACACGCACACTTCTCTCTCTCGTTAAAAAATGTTTATGCTCCTTTAACTAAAACAAGACAGAAAGAAAAGGAAATAATTTAGATATAAGAAAAAAAGTACATACATGGCTGCATTAAATGAAAAAGTGTCTGGAAACTATTGAAGGGTTATTACCTCATGCAGAGATACTGAGATCTATTTCTGAACCTAATAATAGAGATGCATGATGATATTAATATTGGTAGATAATTGCTTTAAAAACATATTGGACAGATGTTTAAACTTGACAGCTATTTCAAACCCATATTTAATGATGTATGTACTGTAAACCAAAAAAGCAGAAACACTGACAACACTGATCTACAGTACCAACGTATCTTTTGTTCATTTTACTGCATTTGTAACCCTATGGAAATAAATATAATATTTACTTGTAAGCTGATCCAGGTGGATTTAAGCCCTATTCGATCTGGATTAGTTTTACTAGAGGAGGTCTGGTTATGTAATTTGTGTGTGATGTGACCAGCTGATTCTTTTAAAATAAAGAATCTCCCCAAATTACTCCCAACAGCCCAGATCGATACATCATTGCACTGACGTTTACACCATCATTATGCAACAGTCGCTACACTTCCAAACAAAAACACACTGTGTGGCTAAATGACATATAGACTAGCATGTAGATAAGTGCGTTAAATTAACAATTATCAAATGCCGCTCAACAAGACAGAAAACACAATGCTTTATGAGAGGTACTTATGACAGTCATTTTCCTTCTCGTTGTAATTCGACCATCACCAAAAATGTAGTGGATTTCAGTAGTCTTGTCAAGAATTTAAGGATTAAGAAATTGGATCAAAGTAAGCTTCATTTTAGCTGTTGGCCGTGAGTTCAGGTCACACACAAAAAAAGAAAAAAATGGGGGTGTTGTTTTCTGCTACATGGTTTCTGCTGTCACAGAACCCTTTTTGTTGCTATACAGAACCCTTTTCAAAAGAGTTCTATATAGAACCATCTACAGCACATTCTTAAGAACCCTTTCATGATGCAAATAACCCTTTTAACATGCAAAGGGTTTTTTGAGTGATCATGGTTCTACATAAAACCATTTTCTTTACTATTTTTAAGAGTGTAGGTAATACTAATCCTGCTCGGATTAAATCTCTGAGCTTTAGTCCTAGTTTCTACATTTTAACAATATTTATGTTTTAGTATCTCCAGATATTTATATAAAAAATACCGGTTATCAGCATCGGCCCACAATTCCCCTCTCTCTGCATTCCTACCTAATACATCTTCACACATATCTGAATATTAAAGCAAGGTGTGCTAATTCACATTTGGAACAGATTAGGAGCATAAATGTCACAGAGCAGAGCTGGCCACCCCTACACTGATGAAATGCTCAACTTTCAGCCAATTTGACTACAAGCACGTAGATGATACCCCTGCAGAAATTATTGGGAGCGGAACAGGGCTTGGCTGATGCCAAACATTTTGACTTTCCACACGCAGCATGTGAAATGAATGACCTGTTGGGTTGAAATCAGTGGATGGATGCAGGTTTTCTAATTTTTGGCTCTAAAAACCTCCCTAAGTTGCCAGCTCACCATTTTTTACGTCACTGCCCTGCTTTCTGCTGAAGCAGTAGTGAGTTCTAAGGCCTTTGATGGCATCTGCGAAAGCAAAAGCCAATATTTTGGCTTGGGATCCTACTCCACATACTCAGACTAGATGAGCACAAGTAAAGATGAATTAAAATGAAAAACTTTAAAAATACTGTAGCATGAAGTAAGGTGAAATAGGACACAGGATGTTTAGAATGTTCAGAGTGCCTGGAATCCAGCTTGGCAAGACAAGCAAGAAAAGCATTTATAAAACAATAAAAAAGCAATTTATGAAGCAATAAAAGCTAAGATCTTCCTAGCCCCCAGGCATGTCATGTAAATGTGTGATAAATAATAGCATAAAATGCAACATGGTGAATATGTATATATTGTGGCGTCCGCTATGGGCCATGCTGCCATGAAGAGCATAGGAGGTGTGGCCACCCAAAGCATCTCTTGAGAGGTACCATGCTCCCAGCTTAAAAAGGCACTGCTGCTGTCATTGTTGTTGATGGTGTTTTTACCGTAGTTGTGTTGTTTGTAGTAAATGTGACCGAGGACAACGGTTTTC